TCCTGAATTCTTCCAATTCAAGGGGCAAAGAATTGAACTTGGTATTTACTCGCAGATGTTAGTATTTATAAAGATACAGGTCGAATAACCCCAACCTGAACATCTAAAACTTGAAATGCTTCAAAAGCCAAAATTTCAGAGCATCAACATGGTGCCACAACTGCAAAATTAGATACTTGTCCCCAAGTGATGAGGCACATTCAGATCTTAGGCACACAGCACTAGAGTCCCTGTGTTAATGGTATGTCAATGTATGTATTATACCTGTTCGGTAGGTATGAGCGAATAACTATAAGATGATTGCTTATTGGTAGCATATACATTCAGAATCAGGAATGATGGTGAAGCCGAAGGACCATAGCTTGTCCACATAGGTGGCTGAAATAAGGAGACTTTTGCTTTTGTCTCATTTTTGAAGTCACCAGAGGGCGCATGGGCTTGCCAGAACAAGAGAGCTAGTCCGAGTGAGAGAGGCAGGATGTGCCCTCCCATGGGGCATGACCATGCCGCAGCCTCCTCTCCATTTCCCCACCCAGTCAGGGTTCGGGGCATGGATGCACACACCTGCCATGTTTGTCCTGCCAGGATTTGAACCCTAGTCAGGCACGTGGAATGCAGCCCAGGATGTCTTTGCTTTCTGATGGTTCAGTGTACGCTATATAAAATTACCACCAGACTGTGCATAAAGTATATATGAAATATGAAAAAGCGCTGTGTTTAAACTTGGGCCCCATGCCCACTTACCTCATTACGTACATGCAAATACTCTGAGATCAAAAACAACCAAAACCTGAGAACTTCTGCCCCGAGCATTTTGGATACTCAACCTGTAAGGGCTAGCATTAATTGGTAAGTCTCGAGGTTCCAAAATCATCCTGACTTCGATGCTCTGGCTTTGTGGGTGGAGACCCTGCATGACGAGTCCACGTGACACACAGACCCAATTTGCCACAGGTGACTGGGTGTTAACTCGGGGCCTGGGCTAAGCTTCTCAGGGCTGACAGTGTCCGGGACCCTATGAAGCTTTGTAAGTGGCCCTCCATGGTAGAAAACTGCAGGTATGAGAAGTTAATATCTCTTAAAACATGCCCAAACATTTTTAAAAGTTAGTAAACATACAGAAATAGTGCAGATGAGTAGCTTCCTCTGAGAAAAAGAAGAGCAGGCGTAACTCTGCCTTTAGGTCTAAGGGAATCCCTCTCTGACTCAGGCAGCAACAGCGGAAAGCTAGAAAGATAAACCATGGACTTCGCAGGGAGGGCCCAAACCTGCAAGGGGCAGGGACGCTCAATGGGTGGTCATTTATGGCCCCAACACGCAGCGCTTATTTAGCAGAGGACATGGCACGCCACAGGTGACGTATCTGACTATCACCGCTGTTCATCTGCTTTAAAAATGCTCGCTGAGTACCTGCCACCGAGTCAGGCACAGACGCCGCGGCTGTTTGAACGGCTGAAAGGCCTGTCCGCTCTCTGCAGTCACGTAGATCAATAACTCAGTGAGGCAGGCGGTGGTCATGCAGGGACACGTCTGGCCAGGTCTCCCCAGAGCCGCGGTCAGTGGAGAGTGCGCTATGGCAATGGCCAGCAGTCACCTTTTGGAGCAGAAGGCAAGAGGCCCAAATCTGAAAGGATTTGGGAGGTCAGGGTGATAAAAGACAAGGTAGCCGGCCTTCAGGAAAACACACGCGTGCTGACGCAGCCATCGCCTGGGAATGCGGGGAGGCACAGGAGACAGTCCAGGGTTAGCCACGGTCTCGGGCGTAATCACGTAAAACACGAAAGGCTGGTGTGGTCGGCTGAACCACGGGCAGCGTGAAGGGTGGGGTCGTCGGAAGTGACCGCCGTCAGAAGTCTCTCTACGCCAAGCACTGTGCCCTGACCACTAGGCAGAGATTATCTGGTTCAATCTCTCTGTGAGGTATTATTTTCTGCATTTCACAGGAATCTAAGGGTTAATTAGAGAGCTGGAGATATTGACTGAGGCCACACAGCTAATAAGGGTGGAAGGGTCTGCTGTCATGCAGCTCTGTGTCGTGCTGTGACACAGAGTGATTTGGTGGTCAAGGGTGGTGGGTCTGCTGTCATGCAGCTCTGTGTCGTGCTGTGACACAGAGTGATTTGGTGGTCAAGGGCCCACCTGGCCAGTCTTTACGTGCAGCTTTTATTCAGGGTGTGGAGATGTGGTTCCCGCGAGCCCTTGCCCCTTTGTCTGGGAGCATAGAAACGGCATGGGGGAGTGACTAATAACCAAAGACGGCCTCTCCATGCGGAGGTGGTGCACGTGCTTTCAGAAGTCGGTCCGGTGCCCACTAGGGTCCCTATGCACTCGCCGTCAGGGTCCCGGAGCCCCAGCCTCAATCCCTTCTTTCTTCTGCATAGCTACTGTTGTCTTTGTTACCGGAACCACATCCAGAGATTGCCTGGCTAACGCAACTTTCTGGAACAGAGACGCTGCTACCTCCACACTGTCAACACCAGAACTGAGAAAATACAGTATAAACTGCCCCCACCCAGTCCAGCCACCTGTCTATAAAAATATCTGGAAGTTTCTCTCAATCCAGACTCATGACAATGACGGGAAGAATCAGCCATGGGTGAGAACTAAGCACCGTGTCATGGAAGCTTAATTTTTTTGTGAGCCCGTATCGCTCTCAGCCCCTTTTTGACCTCCTGGGTTGCTGTAAGCCAGCCTGACGTTTAAAGTCACTTCCGAGTGGTTTCAGTCTTTACCAGGGTCATTCAGGAAGGAGGCGTCCATCGCCATGCCCAGCGAAGCAGGCGGGGACCGTTTCCTCATCTCTTTCCACTCACAAGTGGCCCCACATCTCCTAAATCTAATTTCCCCCAGAACTCTACGCACATTTAGCTCCTGCCCCCAAGCAGACCCTGTTCTGTTGTTTTTAGTTTTTGTGGAAAAGGACAGGTGGGGACAGCCAGCCTACCTCTGCCTTTTTGCAGCTGTCCTGCCCCCAGACCAGGGATTTACAACCCCTAGAGCAGGGAGAAGCCCCTCACTCTCCACAATCTTGGTCAGAGCCCAGCAAGGCAGATGGCTTCTTCTTTTATTTCTTTCTGTTTTTTTTTTTAGAGGTTGTCGCTATAGGGCGTGTGCGCTGGCCAGAAAGACAAAGAGAGACAGAGACAGAAGGCAAGAAATTACCCCCCGGGGGGATGGTCACGCCACAATCCCTTCTCCTGCATTCTCTTCTCGGGATCTTGGGCATGCACGCACACACGCCCTGCATGAGTTTAAGCCACCAGGTCCAGGACTCGAACCGTGGTTGACCACATGGGAGTCCAGCAACGCCATCTGCTGGTCCTGATGGCATCTTCTTTGGAATGATGCAGCGGGGTGAAACGAAAAGGAGAGATTGCGAGTGTGGGGACACAGATGGTTGATCATTCTTGTAAGTGTGAAGCGAGGAATTCTGACACCACGTCACAAGGGAAGTGGCCTCCCTAACGTGGCTTCTGTGGAAGCCATCGCTATCCTGAGCTGGTCTGTACCAACTTAGCACCTTTTCGGACAAGCTCCTGTCTTGCTCTTTACAGAGGATCGCTCAGGGCTGAGGCTGAGCACTGACCCCGCCTGCTGTACCCGGGAGTGCGCACTGCAGCTGGCTGTCCACGTGTACTTGGGGACTTCTCTTTCTATACATCCATGGGGAGCCGAGACACCCAGTGGTCTCTGAGAAAGTTCCTTCTGCCAGCTGTCGGTGCACCGTGCCCGTGTTCTCTGCCATTTAGTTGTAATGAGGAAAACTATAGCCAGTTCCTTCTGGTGGAAAGGAAATTACCTGGACTATGAATCGCAGTGGATCCCCCATCGGCAGCCACGCCATGTGTGTCACCGGTCACTATGTCCCTCACAGCTGTAGTCACTGTTGAGCTCTCACGCCACTGGGAAATTACACCCACGGACACTCTATGCTGGGCCAGTCTCCTTGGTAAAGAATGGAAAGTTGCACAGCATATAAAACCGTCGAGGTGAGATTAGCATGTGACAAAATGCCTCTGCTTGTGGACTCAGGGAAGTGAGGAGAACCCGCCCCTGTGCGAGGGGAGGGCATTGTGAGCAGATGCCCCTGAGCCTGCAGCCTGCCAACAGGACAGAGCCGATGCGTTTCTCTACCCAGCCGCACCCCTAGACGTGCCTCCCGTGCCCTGTGGCCTGCCTCGCGCTGTGGGCACGCCTCGGAACGGGCACCGGCGGCCCGGAGGAGACGAATCCTTTCCTGTCCTCCTCCAGGGCAGGCTTCGTGCGTGCAGCTTAGCGCCTCTGTCCTGACGTGAGAATAGCTCTGTCGAAATCACGTGCGCACATTAAAGAAAGCCATAACCCCTTAGCTTCACAAATGTTTAGTTCCTTTTGCTCCCTTGGGATGAACGAGACCTGTCCGCTCGACTGTTGGGCTTCAGAAGATCCAGGAAGTGACCCCTTAGGGTAATATGCTGTTCGGGTGCTTTGAATATGCGAGAAGGGACCGAGCAGGTC